AAATATATATATAAAGGTGGAAAGGAAACATGTAAACCTTTAATATCCCTATGGAGCACTTGGTTTACATGACAATAATGAAGACCCGTGAGCAGTTGCTTCATATAACACTGCAAATCAATATTATCAATAAACGGTCAACTGATAAAGAATAATGCACAATTAATATTACTAGTCGTATAACTCGTTTTAAATTTAAATACCTTTATTTGTGGAATAGTAAACCTCAATCCGGGCCGATCTGAAAGCCCAGTTAAGTCATGGTCCATGTACTCAAAGACCATGTAGATGCTTCCATTGTACTTATTACTATCTGTTATCAGAATGATGTGTTACTTATGCAAACTTCCCATTTACAAGGGAATCGGGGAGTGTTTCATCATATAAAGAGCATATGATTATTATATTTTTGTTACCTGGATTTGGTTGATCACTCCCTTCTCGGCCTAGTTATCATATTTAGAACACATATCAAACACGAGATGGTACAATGAAAAAATATCAACGGAATAAAACTTAGACTGAGATTCGATGCAGTACCAGGAGATGTCACTATCTCTTTCAAGTTGATAACATTCTCATGCTGCAGCTTCTTAAGTATTTTAATTTCGCGGATTGCAGTAATAGGAAACTGTACAAAAATCAAATCATTCGAATGTTAGAGAAAATCAAGATCCCGGTGAAAGCAAATATTGCCTAATTAGCATCCCCAACTAAACAATAAGATGTTTTCTTTACAACACATGATAACTGAGGTGAAGAATAATACCCCTTCTTTCTCATTATCCATACGTATCTTTTTCAAAGCAACAATTTCTCCAGTTCTCTTTTCTCTGGCCATGTATACTTGACTGGGAGAAAGCCAAAACAGAGCAATTTATCAGCATAAACATTAAGCTTGCAATGCTCTAGGAAATTTAAGCCACTCAAACGGTAGAAAATCATGTACGTGTCAAGTGCTCGTTCAATTTGCTTATAAGTTGACTCTAACACCCCAATAATGACAATGGGACTTGAAGCATTAGATACTACTAGCAGATGACATTAAACTTACTAATAATTTCCGAACATCAGATGCACCTAACTTACAGTTTAGAATATAAACCGAAAATATTCAGACACTATTTCGCGATCCACCTACACAAGAAAATTTATTATACTTACAATTGCATCTGAGTTTATGTATAAGGGAACGGGCAGTATAAAAATCAAAACTGCTGTTCATTTTACAAACACGAAATTCTCATTCTGCGGCTGCTTTATTCAGTTGGTCAATTTTCCTTACTCCGCTCGAGGATTTCAAATTTATGCAAGATAAACACAATAGCATTCTACTGAAGCAGTTCATTGAGATCTATTACAGGCTTAATAGAAAGATACATCCCAGCCACAAATAACAAACATGGGGAAAGTGATCCCAATCTAACACACACACACACACACACACACACACACACACACACACACACACACACACACACATATGTT